AATTTTTTAAAATTTAATATAAAAAAATATTTAAATATTTTAATAATCATTCTTATTGTTGAAGGAATAACATATTATTCCACATCCTTATATTTATGTGGTGTTAGAACTATCTAAATTCACATAAGCTTAATCCAATTGTATTTTTTTCATAAATGTCAAAAATAGTTTTCATCATTTTTTAAAATGATTATTTTGATTTATATTTTTTAAGTATTTTGACCACCAACAATTTATTTTAGAGTAAAAATATCTATATGTAGATGGAATTGTTAGTTAACAAATATCAATGTTCTAAATAAGTATCTTTTTATCCTAAAATAAAATATTAAAGATGAATTATTAAAAAAAGAATAAAGATCCAAATGACTATTTTAATTAATTTTTGGAGACTAATTTTGGTACGATTGACATGTTTTTTTTTTTGGTTAACTTTTCAAAGCCAACAAAATCAAAGATTGTAAGCAATGGAAAAATCGATTTGCAAAGCAAATTACCAAAATTTTCAGGCACCAAAATTGGGCCTGCAGTTGCAAGTTGGAAAATTATAAAGGGATAATTATTGTTTTGGTCTCTAAAATTAATGGGTTATTTATAGTTTAGTGATAATCATCGTGCAGGTGGGCTTGAGGCACCCTACGAGGCTACGACATCTAAAATCAACTTACACATATAATTAATTATATTAAACAGTTTTTAATGGTAATCATCTTTAGATGATCTCATCCATTCCACCATTAGGAAATTAACACATTACACGATTAGAAAGATTTATGTTGACATCAAACTTGTTTCTAGTTATTTCTAGACAACATTGAAAATATAAACTTCTTGAGGTGTTGTTTGTTTGAATCCTGGGAAGCCTAGATACTGATGAACATCCTAGTTTGAACTTTGAAGATCAAAAGAACCTTAAATATGATCATGTATACATTATCCAATGACTGCATGCATCTCAGCAAGGAAACTAAACTTGCAATGATCAACACACCAACAAGATCAAAACGCGTGGTGTTGCCACTGTGTGAAATCTGTGGGCAGCTCAACTAAGCAGTAGATTATTTCACAAGAGTTACTGAAGGCTTATCATAGTGAAAATGACTTCATTTTTGTCCCCATCTCAATAAACTGGTCCCTTCCATTTTCAGGGGGGGGGGAAGTATTTTTTTAGGATAAGAACGAGTTAAAAGTTGGACTCAGATAAGGTCGCACTCACCTATATAAAAAAACCCTTTGTTTTTCTCAAGATATTTGTTACTTAAACATAGTTCACTTCCAGTATTGGTTCAAGCAAGTAAAAGATCATCAGCCAAAAAATGGGTTCTTTAATGGCAGGATGGGATTCTCCTATATCAGATCCTACATCAGGTTCTTTGCACAAAAATCTTATCTTCTTTTCTTTTTAACCTTGTTGTTTAATATCTGATCATTTGGAGAATTCTTTTAGTTGTACTCAAAAGAAACAAGTCGCTTACTAAGGAAGAGATTGAAGCTTACTGGAAATCAAAGAGGAAAACTGAGGAAGAACATCTTAAGGCTATATATGGCTCACCAGATAGTTGCAACCAGCAGGTACAATTTTCTTTGATTCCAATATGAGTATCGGATATGAATATACGTTCGATACGAATACCTTGGCCTTTTCGTTTTTCATCCATGGCAGGAAAGTCCATTAATGGAGTACGGAAAGAAATATATGAGATCAAGCTCTATCCCCTTGCCCCATAAAAACCAGGGATCCCTAGACATGGACTCGGAAATAAGCCTGGAAAATATAATAAAGAAAAATGGCTGGTAAGTAGATAAATTCTTAATTTTATACCATTACCACCTAAAAATAAGCTTAAAAGCTTAGAAATTCCTTTACAAAAGTTAAGATTTTTGGACGGATGATTGTAGGTGGACGAGGAGCACTTGGGCGTTCTTGAATGAACCTCCTGTTCTGGACCGTCCGGCGAGCAGTTACAAGCCACAGTTCCACATCGCCAACCTTGCTGCTTCGAAGCTTAACAAAGATTCTGGCATCAGTGCCAATTAGTCTTTTTCGTACCTTATCTGTTATGTGGGTGTATTTATCTGCTTAATCTGTGTATAAAGAATGGCATGTATCATGATAATGTGTTGGTTTTTGTGGCTCAAGTCTCTTGTGGTTTTGGAGTCTGTATAAAGTACATACAAAGAGTCCTACTCGAATCTCAATTGCAAAACTTATGTCACTAAAAAGGAATCACAGACACTAACTAGACTGCAAAGATGATAAAATCGATCGCCCTTCTGCTCCCTGCAGAATTCAGATTAATGGCCAAGTAATTTGTAAGATTAATCTATGAATTATAATTTGGATGATAAAATCTCCGAATATCATTTGGGAATTGGGAACATACGAGTATCATCAATATTGAGTGGTAGGAGGACCCAAGCTGAATGTGCAAACCACCGGTTAACTTTTTTTAGTAAGAAAGTATATAATTTGGTTTCATCTCAACGCATGCAAGTGTAGGGCCATTGCCCATGCTTCTACCTGCAATGCAAGCCGTAATCTAGTGGTGGCCTCCAAGACAAGTTCAATCCTGGCTGTGCCCAAATCATTATCACTCATATGAATGGACAATACTGCAATTATTACAACTAGTCGGACAACTTTTTTCTGTTGTTTTCCATAAGAACTCACGATTGAGTCTGATGTAAACCAAACCTATAATATGAAATATCTTCTTCTCCTACCTAACTTCATCTGGAACTTGGGGGTTTACCAATATGTAAAAATTGATCCAATTTGTCTTCATCTGGCCATTTTAATATCTCGAAGTGTTCATTCAATAAGTGTTCAATTTTTACCTAATGAATCAATTAAATTTAAATTAACAATTTTTATCTAATGAATCAATTAAATTTAAATTAAGTCTAACATCATTGTAATATTTTAAAATTTGTAAACCCAACCGTATTTAAAAATTGAGTGAAGTACACAAATGGTCCCCGGATTATAGGGTACTATTTTATTTAAGTCTTTTGACTATTAAAAGTTACAAAATGGTCATCTGACTATAGAATGTTGCTTTATTAAGTCGGTTGATTGTTAAAAGTTACAAAATAATCATCTGATTATTTATTATGTTCTAAACTTGTTTTCTTTTTGTTAAAAATTAACATTTGTTTAAGTTTGACGTTAACATGATGATTGAGATATTATAGTCATTTGAAATTCTAGGATCATATTTTATCGTATCACATTCAACGGGTTAACGTTCAACTCAATATCGTCCATTTTTTAACGGAAAAAGACGAATTTGGAACATAATGAATAGTCGAGTGATCATTTTGTAACATTGAATAGTCGAGGGACTAAAGAAATCAAAATTCTACAGTCAAAGGATTATTTTGTAACTTTTAATAGTTGAAGGACTTAATAAAGTAGTATTGTATACTCGGGGGACCATTTGTGTACTTTACCCTTAAAAATATTAGAGAAAATTCATATCTAAACATTAAAATACATAATCAAAATTTACAAATGTAACCCAAAAGTATGCATTCAGTTGGACTCTAAAAATCTTTGGCCCAACACGTGTCTCATCATCTTAATCCATCATAGTCCCTTCCGAGGGCTATCAAAATATCCAATAAAAAATATCTCTTGTCCCTTGAACAATATCTTGACCAGGGACGAAGTCGCTAAAAAATTGGCAGAGGCTGTGGGCCCTCAAAATCTTTTGGTATAATAGTATTGTAAATCCCTTTTAATTTAAATATTTATAAAATAAAATAGTTAGTTTTCTTAATTCTTAAATTTAAATATTCAATAGAATTTTATTTTTATATATATAATAATTTAAATTCTCCCAATATTTAATCCAAAGTTCTAACCTCATTCTAATCTTGACCACATTCTTTTTTTTCTTTCTAATCTTCCCGTCCTCTTTTTTTTTCTATATTACTTGGTAAATTATCTTAAAGGTCATTAGATTATGAGGTTAATTATATTTTAATTTTTTGAACAAAAGAAATTTATGGATTAAGTCATCAAATTTATATAAATACAAAAATAATATTTCGTTAATTGTTAAAAACGAGTGATTTAATTAATATCATTAAAATATATAAGTGATATAATTGATGAAATTAGAATACCCAGTATAATTAAGTGACTAGTCAAATAGTTTACCCATTTCTAAATTTGGATCAAAATTGACGGATGTCAAATTATGGTTCACCTAACCCAGCTTGTTGACAGTCGAGACTTTTCGGTCATGATGATGCTTGAATGATAACGACTGCCTAACTTATTAGTTGCTCCCATACCAAGACTTTTCAATGACTATCCAACCGATTTCTTCCCCAAAATATTTGGATTCTTCTTGCAATTATAAATAAATTTTTATTAAACTTTTAAAATTAAACATTTGCAACCATTCCTTTAATTTTCGTATTTTTTAAGTAAACCTAATTTTTTTTAAATTTATTTAAAGATTTAATTGGTTATTTATCGTATCTACCGAGTTAAATTGATAAAAACATCTTGATAAAGAATTATATAAATTTAATGTAGTTGCACACATAATTTTTTTCTCGAAAAATTGTTTAAAATTATATAAATTTATATCTTGTATAAAATATTTTATCTTAATACTCTTATTTTAAAGGAAGATTATTATTAATAACAGTATGTTTAAAATGTGATAAATTCTAATATATTTTTTTTCTAAATATTATTTTTTATTAATCTAAGTGATTACAAAGTAGTATATACTCAAAATATTTTTAATCATTTGACAATAAATATTCAAACACTTCTACAATGGGTGTGTTCGAACCAAAAACCATGTTTTAAATGTTATTTTAAGTAACCATATGTGTTTTAAAATAGATCTAGCTACGATCTAACTACCAATTTGTGTTTTATGGTTGATGGGACCTATAGGTAGGACACTAAATTCTCACCAACAAGGCTCCTCTCATTTCAACTATAAATAGTGCATCAGTTGCCTGTCAAAATTTCATTACAACAAACATACTCCAAAACCGTTTCCCTTTTATACCAACATTGTTCTAGTTCCCGTTGCTGAAGAAACTCATCAATGGCTGAGAAGAGCAAGATTTTGGTGATAGGAGGAACCGGCTACATCGGAAAGTTCATTGTTGAAGCCAGTGCGAAAGAGGGTCACCCCACTTTCGCTTTAGTCAGAGAGACCACCCTCTCCGACCCCGTTAAGGGAAAGATCATCGACGACTTCAAGAACTTAGGGGTCCAGTTGTTGATCGTTAGTAGTCTTGGATTTAGATCTTCATGTACATTGTTCATGGTTGTGAATACTTTGTTTATTATGATTCTGTGAGCATTTATTGCAGGGAGATCTTTACGACCATGAAAGTTTGGTGAAGGCAATAAAGCAAGTCGATGTGGTGATTTCGGCGGTGGGGCAAATGCAGATAGCAGATCAAGTTAAGATCATTGCTGCCATTAAAGAAGCTGGGAATGTCAAGGTTTGTCTTTCTCTGTTCCATTTCACACAATTTGCTTTATTTTATACTGATATGAGAGCTGAACGCATTTTGGCAACAGTGGACCAAAGAGATTTACAGGAACTTAGCTGGTAGCTAGCATTTTCTAAATTTCTTCATTGTATTCTAATTGAAACTTTTATTTTTTTTTTAAATTTGATCAGAGATTCTTGCCGTCCGAATTCGGAACGGACGTGGACCTGAATAAGGCGATTGAGCCGGCAAAATCAGCATTCGGAATCAAGGCTCAAATCCGTCGTGCTGTCGAGGCTGAAGGGATCCCATACACTTATGTGCCTGCTAACTGCTTTGCAGGCTTCTTTGTTCCTACTTTGGCACAGCCAGGAGCCACCTCTCCTCCAAGAGACAAGGTGGTTATCCTAGGCGATGGAAATCCCAAAGGTATACTAAGCATTTATGATCACAAATTTAACTAAGAAATTAAAGAGATAATCTGTAAACACCCTTTGCATCCAATTCCTTGTGCAGCTGTTTTCAACCATGAAGCCGATATCGGAACCTACACCATCAAAACCGTGGACGACCCGAGAACGTTGAATAAGACCTTGTTCATCAAGCCTCCCAGAAACACCTACTCATTCAACGAGCTAGTCGCCCTGTGGGAGAAACTGATAGGCAAAACCCTTGAGAAAACATATGTTCCAGAGGAACAACTGCTCAAACAGATCCAAGGTTGATAAAATCCCCTGCTCTTTATTTGGATTTATTCACGCAACTCTTATACTTTGTTCTTCATTCACGCATTTCATCAAACACTTGCAGAGTCTCCAATTCCATTCAATATTCTGTTGGCTATCAGTCACTCCATCTTTATCAACGGTGACGGTACCAACTTCGAGATCAAACCATCCATCGGGTTCGAAGCTTCTGAACTATACCCTGAAGTGAAATACACCACTGTGGAAGAAATCCTCAGTCGTTTTGTTTGAGAAAAGCTAGAAATCAAATCGGACCTTGTTATTGAACTAATAATTCAGAAACCGTCACTGAAGGATTTGGGCCAAGGGCTTTCGGATTCTCTGTTGGTGTGTGTGTTCATAAGTTTATCATTACTATCACTGAACATAAAGCGAACCATGCTGTTGTCGTTGTGTCTTTTTTTATGTTGATTGTGGGAAGAAAGGAAGAATAAGGAAAAAGGAAGAAAAAGAAAAAGAGAGGACCGAAAAGAAAACCATTTGATTATATATATAAAATTAATCTTGCATTACTATTGATCTTTGTGTTTCTATATATTAATCGAAAAAATAATTAAATTTAAAGAAAAATATTAAGAATATTACTTTGAATTTAAAGTAAATTATATGATTGGTCACTGAAATATGAAAATTTCTTTAACATAAATTTCAAAAAATAACAAAATAGATACTAATATTATTATTTTAATTACTCAACTATTAACTTGCGTTAGGCTAATAACATAAAGCTGACGTGGCTATTTAAACTAGTTTGTCTGACATCTTTTCATGATACAATATGAGAGTTGGCCAACATTTTAACTCGACCTTGCCTCTCTTTCTCCTTGCTTTCTTAAAATCTTGTAGCAGAAGGGTGCTAACTCAACCTTCTCCTTGCTTTCTTAAAATCTTGTAGCAGAAGGGTGCTAACTCAACCTTCTCCTTGCTTTTCATTAATAGTTGTGAAATATTATGAATGAGGGGACACTATTTTAATGCACAAGTTGCAAATAGTATAAATACTACTGCTCAAGTTGTTAATAGTGGTCATCATGTTTGTCTTTCTGCTTTTTGTTCTGATTCTTTAGATCTATGGCATAGGAGGCTCGACCATCCTTTTCAAGGCATTCCAGTATGTACCTTAAAGAGTTGCAATATTGTTTTTGATACTAACAAAAATTGGCATTTGTGTCAAGCATGTCAGCTTGGTAAGATGCATAAACTCTTTTACAGCCTCTCTTACTGTGTATCAAAACCCTTTAAAACTTTTTACTGCTGATGTGTGGAGTCCTGCCCCTGCTCATTCTCAAGGGTTCAAGTATTATATTGCTTTTACCGATGCGCGTACAATGTACACCTGGATTTATTTTTTGAAACAGAAATTCGAGGTGAAAACTGTATTTATTCAATTTCATAAACAAGTGGAAAGACAGTTGGGAATCAAACTAAAAATTTTGCAGTTTGATGGAGGGGGAGAGTTTATTGCTCTACAGAGTTACTTCAAGGAGCTGGGTATTCTGCATAGGTTGCCATGCCCTCACACTTCAGCACAGAATGGGATTATTGAAAGGAAGCACAGATAAGTGGTGGAAATGGGGTGACACTGTTGTCACAAGCAACTTTACCTCTATGGTTCTAGTCTGGTGTGTGCAGACAGTCCTTATCTATATTGTGTCAAATGGTCATCTGTTGTCAAGAGTGTCTTTGCCTAATTTTGACTGTCCTTTGCATATCGTGTCTTCTGCACCTGGTCTTGCTAACAATACTTTATCTCTTGTGGTGTCATCATCATCTCCATCCATTAACTCCACTTCTCCTTTATCTCCATCAGTACCATTATGACCACTATTAAATAATATTCACCACTTCACTTCCTCTTCTTTCATCTCACTCACCTAGTTCACCATATCCACATTTTACCGCTTCCTTATTGTCATCTCAACCATTGGCTTTTGCAACCATTCAGGCTGTCCATGACTCATAATTCTTTTTCATCAGATCAATTACCACATTCTTCATCTACATTACCATCTACATCTACATCACCGTCTACTTCTACATCACCATCTCCATCTCCATCTCCATCTCCATCTCCATCTCCATCTATATCACCTCCTCCATCTCTTCCATTTTCACATTCTTCCATTCCATCCTAATCAAGAGTTGTGCAGAATGCTCATCCTGTGGTTACTAGAGGGAAAGCATGGGTGTTTAAGCCTAAAGTGTTTATCACTGAAATCAAGAACAAAGAATCTAAAGATGTTTTCGAGGCTTTGAGGCATCCTAATTGGAAGCATGCTATTTTTAAGAGTACAATGCTCTAGAAAAGAATGACACATGGGAGCTACAACCTTTGTCACTTGATCGAAGGCCAGTAGGGTGCAAATGGCTTTGTAAGGTGGAAAAGAAGCCTGATGGTTCAGTTGAAAGGCTTAAAGTAAGGTCGGTTGCTAAGGGGCACTCCCAAAAGGTTGGCAATGATTTTAAGGAAACCTTCAGCACGATTTTACGTGCTACCACGATCAGAATAGTGTTAGCCACTCCTGTTGTTAAAAGTTGGAACATACACCAGATTGATATCAATAATGTGTTTCTAAATGGGCAACTTGCTAAAGAAAACTACATGGAGCACCTTACTGGTTTTGAGAGTTTTGGACATAATGGAGAAAAACTAGTTTGCAAGCTAAAAGGGCTCTCTACGGTCTCAAGCAGGTCCCAAAAGCTTGGTTTAATACTCTTAAAGTTTTTTTAATTATAAAGTTGAGGTTCGTGACATCCAAGACAGATTCCTCCTTGTTTATCAGGGATAGTGGCGACAAAAAGATTTTATTAATGGTGTATGTGGATGATAGTATCATCGCATGCAGTAGTGCAACAGAGGTGAATAATGTTGTTAACCAAGTCAACAATGAATTTTCTTTGAAAGACTTGAGAGAGCCTGGATATTTCCTGGGTATGAAGGTGAATCATTACACTTCAGGGCTTGTGCTAAGTCAGAAAAAGTATATCAAAAGAGCTTTTGACAAAGGATGACATGTTACAAACAAAGGCAACCCCAACTCCCATGCGAGTAACACCTAAGCTTAAAGTTGATGATGGGCAAGTTGTGGATGATGCTCAGCTTTATCAAAGCATAATTGGTGGGTTACAATAAGTGTGCCTTACAGGGCCTGGCATTGCTTATGTAGTCAATAAGGTGAGTTAGTACATGAACCTCAAGATGCTTATTGGAAAGCTGTTAAATGCATTCTGAGGTATTTGAGTGAAACATTGTCACATGGTCTAGTTTTCAAGGGAGTTGATATGGTCAATCTGGTTTGCTATGCTGATGCTAACTAGCCTTCCTTTGTTGAAGATATAAGATCTACAACATGTTATTGTATATTTCTGGGGCCTAATCTTATGACTTGAAGCTCTAAGAAGAAAGTTGTGGTTTCAAGGTCAACTTCTGAGGCTGATTATAGAAGCCTTGTAAATGTTGCTTTTGAATTGTGTGGGTAGAACATTTATTGAAAGAAGTTGTGATTCAGTTGTATGGGGTTCCAGTGGTGTGCTGTGACAATACATCCACTGTTTCAATGGAAACAAATCCAACTCACCATACCTAAATCAAGTATGTGGAGATCGATTATCATTTGGTTAGAGAAAAGGTTCTAGTTGGTCAGCTAATTGTCAACTACATTCTTGTTGCTAAACAAATTGCAAACATTCTTACTAAATCTATTCCACCAACTTTGTTTGAATCCATGAGTAACAGGTTGAATGTTTTGCCTGGTGGTGAATTTCAAGAAGAAAAAAAGCTAGGAAAATGATAGAGTATTGCTTTGTAACTGAAGTTGTTATTTCTGTTGTAACCGGTCAGCCTCTACTTTTGTAATTGTATGGGCTTTTCCTAGTACTATAAGTAGGCATATTGTTGTATTGGGCTGCTATGCTGATTTTAATGAAATACCAGGTATTGTTCTTTTACTCTCTTTTCTTAACTATTATTATGTTCTTCTCTTGTCTCTCTATTTTTTCTAATTCCTTCACGATTCCTTCATGGTTTTACAAGTATAGATTCTTTAAATGACTGAAGCTAAGTTTCTATCACTGTATCCTACAAGATATGCTCATATCGCATTAAATTAAGATATATGAGAAAAAGTTTACAGATGCTCTTCTTCTGTTGCATACCACCATTAATATCAGACCATTTGCTGAATGTAATTTGTTGTAACACCCTAATCTGGTCCAACCCAAAGAATTCAAAGATTATAATGTCACAAAGGGCCACCGAAGTAGGTAACTCAAAAATTTTCTTTTAAAACAATCGTAAAACATCACGTAAAATCCATCTCAAGTAAAATAAAATAAAACATAGCAATTCAAGGTTACAAAATACGGGGAGCTCTCAAATCATCCATAATAAATACATTGAGTTTAAAAACCAAAATAGAGTTACATCTTAATACAAAAGGGTCTACAATAGTACATGCCCTCTAAATAAATCAAGATGTACTTTGGTGCCTCGGTTGTGTTGGAATATCTAGTGAGAATAATGCTTCTCAGTCAGCCTCCAAAGAAACTTCGCACGGAAACACATTCTGAATGCTGAGTTTACGAGATCAGTGTCTCACTAATAACTATACTATACTACATGCATTCACTAGATGCACATGCTAGAGGCACAAGTATAAAGACATAAGAATACTGATCTATCATGTTGTGGTAGGCATCATGGTGTGGATGAGGGTTCTACATCTCGGAGCTCACACACCCATCTATCCTTCCTAATACCCTTGGGTATTTGGGGTGAGATTCAGAACTACATCGAAAATGTACACCTGACCAACTTACTCCGTCGAGTCTTAGAGCATCTGCACCCAATTGGCGACTAAAATGCCTTGGCACTGAGATCGAGTCTCACGATGGGCATTTCATAACTATGATAGCCAGAGGTCTCCCACGGAAGCTGCTCTCAACCTGGCATTGGGGGCAGCCTACTATCCTACCTCCCCCTTACCCCATTACATATGGGAATAGGGTCAACTAATTTTTTTTTTGTAGTTTTATTTCATGATGTTTTGGTGTTATTGGGTTCCTCAATTCTAACTGTTCGTTGGTACCGATACTAAGCTCCTCAGTATTGATACTGGCCTCTGGGTATTGATACTACTGACTTATTGAAGGTTGATAACAAAGGGTTGGTATTGAAACTCCTTCTTGAGTATTGATACTTCTGGTCTATGGTATCGATAATTTTCTGAGTACTGATACTAAATTTGGCTTCGATGTTTTGAAAAATGCCTAAGTATTGATACCCCTATCGAGAAGTATCAATACTCTACCCTTGATATCGATACTCCCGTGAGTACCGATACCAGAATTGTATTATGAAATCTGCTAAGTGAACATGATATCGATATCACCCTACATGTAACATCCATTTCTTGGATACGTTTTCGTATACAAGTCACAGGTGTCAAATAACTTTTAAAAATATTTTCTTATTTGTAAACCCATAAAAATTTGTTTAAAAAATAAAACATTTTTAATATCATAATAATAAAACGTTCGTTGTAACATATTATAAAAATGATAACTTTAATACATTCTAGAGCATTTTCTTAAGTCCAAATACATGCCACCTAGTTATCAAAACAGACATAAATGTCCTACAGTTACTGATGAGGCAACCTTTGATTGATGATGTTCACTTCACTCCTTACTCCGCTAGTCTTTGCTATTTCCTACATGTGAAATCAACACATGCTAAGTATTTACTTAGTGAGGCAACATGATACAAAATGTATTATACTTAAATATAAGCATAATATAAATTATCAAAATACGAATGAAATCATATAGCTCATATCAATTACATTAACTTGGCTTGGCTAACCAATCTTCATTCAAATGGCATGATAAATTATTTTTAGTATGCCCAACATACCTATCAATCAGTATTTTTCAATTTAACCTTTATTTTGCCCAATGTATGTCAAATGAGAATGCAAGGTACATGCATTGCATCGAAGTGCCGAAATGGAAATTCACAAACTCATTATGAATTCCATGGATTGCACATATAGTGCCGAAATGGTTGTTCATAAACACATTATGAATACCATGGGTTGCACATTTAGTGTCAAAAATGCACCGTTATGCATTAAACGAAATCAATCAATAACTTATATATATAATTGTATATTAAAATGGTAATTCACAAACTCATTATGAACCATGATTACACATATAGTGCCAAAAGTACACATAGTAATGATACAGAAATGCACCGTTATGCATTAAACAAAATCGATCGATACCATCATACATGAAGTATGTCGAAATGCACCTATGACTCTCAATGCACATACAATGGACTTTTAAGTCAATTTCACAAATTTAAACATTTATTTCTGCAATATCAATAACCATTGAACAACTTCAACGTTTATCTATTCCTTTTAGAGCAGTTCATACATTAAAACTTATTCTTAATATCATTTCCATAAACGTTATGAAAACATATCAAAGTATTTTAAAACATGCTTTATCAAAACATTTGAGGTTGACTCGTCGCAAGTCTCCCCCACTTCATAGAAGTACAACAAATGCACTCACCTGATATGCCTCACTACATGTTGTAATGATGCCCGACTATTCGACAACTTTATCCTTGCCCTTTTTCTTGCTTAACTATGGAGCTTGGTTACAATCTATACAAGCATCCATTAATTACACATACCATACAAATGTTAGTATACTTTCTAACATTTATACTTTTAATAATACTCAATAGTACTGTTATTTTCAATTTCTATTAAAATTCACCCTATCTTAAAATTCTAGGCTTAATAGTATAGGTACCCCTACTATCGATACTTCTATACTATGGTATCGATACTCCCTTCAGTATCAATACCATTTCTGCATTCTGGAATCCATAATATTGATAATTTCCTCTTAGTATCGATACCCACAACAATATCGATACTAATTGCATCAATATCGATACTGTTCATCCTAATTCCTCAAATTTAAACTTATAATATCGATACTGTTCTTCAAGTACCGATACCATTTCCCATATTTTTCATTTTTCATTTTGATTTTTACCCAATTTTCGTGTAAATCCTTTAATTTTATCTCGAAACATAACCTTAAACTCATTATTATTCAAACCAACTGCCTTACATCCACAAATCTCCATATAACATCCAATAACTCCCAAGAACTCTTTAAAACTAAAATCACACCCAAACCTCAAACATGTTTTCAATCACTTCCAAGGCTTCTAATCTCTTATTTACTTCTTTGACAAGTCAAATTTACTTGTAAACCTCAATAAAAACTCATATTTCATCATATTACTCAAAAACTCATTTTCTTAAATCTCAAATAATTCACCAATCACTTAGTTTTAATCATCCTTGAACTTTCCTTAAGCCTCTATATCACTCAATGTTTCAAAACCAGCCCATAAACTAAAGGAAAAACCAACTTGAAGAAACTTACCTTTGGCTATGGAGGAGAGCACGGGACGAGCAAGAGAAGAAGAAGAATATAACTTAGCTAACTTTCCCCTTTTCATTCTTCTTAAATATCCCTAATAAAATAAACTTTTAAATTCATTTCCCCCTAAAGGACTAAAATGCCCCTTTATTCTTCCATTCTTACTAATTAGTCTTAAACACAATTTCCTAAATCATTTCTTGTACTTTACCATTTATTCAATTTTATCCTTCAAATTTTAATTCCTTTCAATATAGTTACTAACCTGATGTTTGGGGTATTACACTACGAGTATCTATACCTCACCTACAGTATTAATACCCGTTTTATGAGTACTGATACTCGTAGCCCAAAACCCTTTGTTTTTAACACTTGAAGAACAATATCGGTAATGTTTGATTATAGGGATTATAATAAGGCTGTAAACATGTTGAAAAACACCCAAATGCTGAATCTACCATGAACATGCTTCATAACTCACGCAACCTACCAAAACGCATCTAATAACCTACATGTGTTAGAGTTGAGTTATAAATGAGTTACCTTGATTTTCTAAGCTGTTGGAAGTGTCCAGTGCTCAACCAAGCACTTGTTTCTCCTTTCCTCTAGCCTTGGAGCATTCTTCAACTTCTCTCGCTAGATATGAATCAAATGCTTTGAGTTATTAGCTTGATCTAAAGGTTAAGAAGGATTTAAAGACACTTCCCAAGGCTTAAACTTTCTGAAAACGGATTAGAACCCTTAAGTTCCATAACCCCCACAAAACCTATATTTGGCTATCAATGTGATATGAAGAGGTTGAGAGCTTGATTTAAAGCTCTAGAGTTCATGATTAGGATTCTTACCTTTAAATTGCTAAACTAAGGTTGCAAGGCCACCAAGTTAACATCTTTGTTGGTTCTAGGTTGAAAGAAAATGAAGGATTAATGAGGAGGAGGAGAGACAAATAAGAGTTGAGAAAAAAGAAAAAGAAAAAGATAACGTGATATCATCAACAATTAAGGATTTTTAGCTTTTGAAAATAAAATGGTGAAACTACACATTTGTTCTTTTTTCTTTTAACTCTAGATTAAAAATACCCCCTTTTTACTCATGTTGGGCCCCAAACAAGCTCAATCCTACACTCATTTGGGTTAAGCTTCCTCACAATACTAATGAATTTATCTAATCCCACTCGGGTTAACCCAAAACTACTAATCCGAGATTCAGGGCGTTACATTTGTTGCCAATGATATTATAACCAAACTAATCTAAAACATTCCTCACCCAACATGTGGAGCTGGTGATAGGGTTATTAAAAAATACCTGACCTGATTGACCCGACCCGTCGACTGGTTAAAAAATATCGAGTATTTATTTTGAAAATACACGATTTTTCAAGTTGGTTAGTTAGCCCGCTATATTTTTCAGGTTTCCGGGCCGGGCCTAGGTCACAAAATCTTACTTAACCAAGTACTTGTCGACCCAATACCCAGTTTCTTATATATATATATTATTTTTATTTTATATTGACCTTTTATTTATAATTCTAAAATTATTTCACTCTAACATTCAAAATTTCTAATTTTTTAAATTTTACCACCATAACATTCTAAATTCTTAATTTCTTAAATTATTTCACATTAACATTCTAAATTATTTTTTTAAAATTTTATTTTAACTTCGAAACATTTCAAATTTAATTATATTTTTTATTAAATTTTCTTTCAATTATGTAATTTGAATTTTTAAACTTTATGTGTGAATTATATATTATAGACCTTTAAATTTTAAATTTTTTCTCTCTCTATATATATATATTTAAAATAATATAATTTAAAGAAAAATAAGAAAGTTATGAACCAGGTATTCGTGGTCTAGAAATACATGTACCCAGATGTAATGGGCCGGGACACATGCCGACATTTTGATATTAAAAAATTTCGGGTACCCAAAAATACGGGTACCCAATTTTAAACACCCCTAACTAGTGAAATAATTGTTGCATAGGATATGAAGTTTCGTGTGTTTATTCATTAATACATAAACAAAATATAACGAAGGTAGTACGATGTTTGAAAAAAAAATAAAAATTAGAAATCATTTAAAATAAAATAATTATAAAATATATGCTTAATCATCTATTTGATGTTTTAGTAGTAGTTTATGAATAAAACTAAATATTAACTATTTTGTTAATATTGTCGCGTCATCAATTTAATGTGAATGATAATAAATTGATTATTTTATTATAAATTGATAATATTAGTGATCCATATATTGTTTTTAAAACTTTAGTGAAAAAATATAAAATTTGCTCTAACACTAATAGCCATTGGTGTAGTTTACCCTATTAAAAATAATTAAACCATTAAGATTTAATGGTCAATTGCCTCTCTCACGTATGACGTCTGCTATAACAAAATTGTTTTAACGTCTGTTAATTTAAAAATGATTAAACCATTAAAGTTAGGGACAAGTGCCCTTTCACCTGCAACACATGTTCGTCCCAGGAATAAGATTATTTTTTTATTTTTTTCTTTATTTAAGGAAACAATAAATAAATGGCGTCGGTACTATGTTGCCACAAAGAAGGCGGCTATTATTGCAAGTTTAGATCCATTTTTTCAACTATAAATAGTGCACCATTTGTCTGTCAAGTTCCACTACAATAACACAATAAAAAACTTTTCCTTTTTATACCGAGATAGTTTTCGTCTTTGTAGCTGAAGGAACTCATCGATGGCTGAAAAAAGCAAGGTTTTGGTGATCGGAGGAACCGGATACATCGGGAAGTTCATCGTTGATGCCAGCGCAAAAGAGGGTCACCCCACTTTTGCATTAGTCAGAGAGACTTCCCTCTCCGATCCCGTTAAGGGAAAAATCATCGACGATTTCAAGAACTCAGGGGTCCAGTTGTTAACAGTAAGCAATTAGTCTTGGAGTTCTTCACATGCATTCATGGCTGTGAAAATATATTTATTTATTCTGATTTTTATGAAGGGGGATCTTTACGACCATGAGAGTTTGGTTAAGGCAATACAGCAAGCTGATGTGGTGATTTCAGCCGTGGGTCTGACGCAGTTAGCAGATCAAGTTAAGATCATTGCTGCCATTAAAGAGGCTGGGAATGTTAAGGTTGGCGTTTCTCTGTTTAATTTAACTCATTTTGTTTGCAGAGTAATTACTGACCCTAGTAAGTAACACAATTTAAATAGATATACATATGGTTACAAATTAGTTAGGGAAAAGATAATCAAAGATAGATTAATACAAAACAAAAGGACCGAATATAAAAGCTAGATTAATATAAAAGGTTAGATTTAGATCTCGTTTGACGTTATTTTTTAAATGCACTTTTAATTAAAAAGTTTGTTTTAATCATAAAATTAACACCAAAAAATTAGAATTTATAGTTTTTATTTTTTATATTTAACTTTGATTTTATCCTTATTAATGAATGAGCTCCACTCAATTATGTATTTGTATTTGTATTTTAATTATTTAATATTAACCTCCTTAAAAAAATAATGTATTACATAATAATTTATTTTAATTGTTTAAAGTAAATAGAATTCATGATTTATATATTAAAATATTAATAAAATATTTTATATCCACGTGTTAAAAAGTATTGATAATATATTTTTAATAAAATATTTCATATTTTTAATTTACAACATAACATTTATAATGAACATTTTATTTTTTCAAACTAACTTTAAAATACATCTCTAAAAGTTACAATTTATACCATAACATATTTTTAAAATAATTCTCTCGTAATATAATTTTAAAGGATAAGTATACTCTTTATTTATATGGTCGAATATTTGGGAATCTTATTCCATAAGAATCAATGGTTTCTCAATTTCTTCATTCCACTCCAACGTTATTTCCTCTAATGATCAGAGATTTTTCCCATCGGAATTTGGAATGGACGTCGACCTGCATAATGTGGTTGAGCCGGCGAAATCACTAATGGAAATAAAGGCTCAAATCCGTCGTGCCGTTGAGGCTGAAGGGATCCCTTACACTTATGTGGCTTCTAACAGCTTTGCAGTCTACTTTCTTCAGTCTTTGTCACAGCCAGGACTCACCTCTCCCCCAAGAGACAAGGTCGTCATACTAGGCACTGGAAATCCCAAAGGTAAACAACCAAAAGCATTTATAATCAGAAAAGTTTATGAACACTTAGTTTCAGAGATTAAACAAAGCACATTGCATCCGATTCTGTTCGCAGCTGTTATCAACCATGAACACGACATCGGAACTTACACTATCAAAGCTGTCAATGATCAGAGAGCATTGAACAAGACCCTGTTCATCAGGCCTCCCAAAAACACCTGCTCGTTCAATGAGCTTGTTGTACTGTGGGAGAAATTGATCGGCAAAACCCTTGAGAAAACATATGTAACAGAAGAACAACTCCTGAAACAGATCCAAGGTTGATAAAATCTTCTGCTCTTGGTTTTTATTCATGCAATTCATATAAATATGTTGCTTTGTTAAGTGTTGTTGTTTGGTATTTGATAAAATTCTTGTAGAGGGTCCACGTCCACTCAGCCTTTTCTTGGCCATATGTCACGGCAACTTTGTCAATGGTGATTGCACCAACTTTGAGATAGAACCATCACTCGGGTTTGAAGCTTCTGAGCTATACCCTGAAGTGAAATATACAACTGTTGAAGAAGGCCTCAGTCGTTTTGTTTGAGAAAGATAGCAATCGAACCGGATCCTTTTTATTGAAAGCTTACCAGTAATAAGCTGAAGGATGTGCAGAGGGCTTGGGGATTCTCTGTGTCTATGTATATTCAGTGTCTATGAACAATTAAAACAGTTCTTTCTTTGTACTAGTCATCAATAGAGACCCATGCAAGCAAAATAATTTTGGAGTGCTGTTTTAAACAAATGAATACATGGACTGATGATCTGGAAAATTTAAGTGGATGTCAATACATTGGAAGAGGCTTGGAGTAAGAAAAAACTAGTTTTGATTGTGGAACATAGTTGAACATCAATATTGACTGATCATTAAAATAGAAACAGGTAAGTGTGTGATTCGTTGGTAATCAAAGAATTCAACGTTGGGTATGAGATTTCGCATTGGGTATCAACCTTTTGGCGTGGTCCAAGTCAGTTTGTATGTGTTTCTTTTAGATAAGATTCTCCCGATAAAATATTTATATATATATATATATATAAAGTTTAGGTGACGCCCCGGTCCAGGTCCAGGGTCAATGTATACCTAAGACCTAATTGGGATTGACATAAGAACCTACATATTACCCATCAAGAGTGACGGTGGCAGAATTTGAACTTGGCCAAGTTCAAATTCTTGAATCCCAATCACTTGTACCAACACTTGTTGTCTTCACCTTATATAAATTATATGTAATTTTTTAATTAATTTTTATTAAAATTCTTAATGAATTTAAACCCAATAGTTTGGGAGTTCCCAGTGAGAATGACATATTAAATTCACCAATTATTGAATATTTATTTTTAATGATTTCTTATACCATAGTTTGGATGGTTCATTTAATATGAACTTGAAGAAATTCACCATACCTATTGTGAGGATGAACTATTGAAAAAGCACTTAATTATTTCATCGTCCAATTTGGGTGATTTATCTTGAGATAAACCTAATGAAATAACCTATGTAAGTGAGAAGAACTAACCACTTTCTATGAAAAACGTTAAGTCATTTTTCTAGTACACTTACTACAATCTTGAGGAAAGAGGACTATATATATATTGCATTCATATATATACTTTGTAGACACATCGAAGACTTCAGTGGATGAAGGAGTTTGTTGTGTGTTATGAGTTCACCCTAATCTTAGAAAGTTCATGATTTGTTCACTTATCTAAGAGAATAATTACTCATCATCACTATCTACTAGTTCCAGATATATTGACTAGTGCTTAAGCAACTAATCTCGCTATTGCTCTTCTTGTGTTTTAACTTCAATTTTTTTTACAAAAGAATTTTTTTGCATTAGTGGGGAATATTGGTAATTCAAAGAATTTCACATTGGGTATGAATCGTTTGGCGTGGTCCGATTCTGTTCATATGTGTTTCATTTAGATAAGATCCTCCCTATAGAATATTATCTATCAGAGTTTATTTTACCGTTTATAGTCATTTCAAAATATTTAATATGATTTATGATGATTAATAATTTTATAACTGTTATTGGATCTTTTACCATTTTATGCCTATATTGAGCCTATAAATGAATATTTATTTTTCCATTTCATATCGCACTTCAAGATTAATATTTCTAAGCAAATGTTTGCTTCAGAAACATTCTCCTTGGTTTTTTATAAACCTGTTTGGAGTGTTACTTTAAGTTTTGAAAGAAGAGCAGTACCACCAAGTCCACTTCATCTTTCGGGTGTACAGAATTTAGAGAGTTGTATTAACCTGGGGGGGTCATTCATCCATTGTAGTGATTACAGACATCGGGACGAATTCCCTTCTAAAACAGTGGATACGAACGACATGGTTATCGTTCCATTTATTTATTTTATTTTATATTTTCAGTCAGTACTAACTCCTCGTTTTGCAGCAGTCTATTTTCTAACAATTTAAAAGTGAATTCATACGGCTTCTTAAACATGATTGAAATTCAAACCAAATGTGGGATTTGAACAAGCAAATTCGGTGACAAACACAACTTAAATAGTTGGTGAGATTTAAGTTAAATTGCATGATTTGCATAAACTGAAAAGTAAGTTGTCTATCGAATCTGATATATGGTTATTCCTATTTTGTTTACATTATATTTAGTGCCAATTTTTTAAAATAATAAAAGAATTTATTAAACTAAATGAGGATTGGTTCCAATAACACTTAAGGTCATATGGACTTCCCCCCCCCCCCTAAATCATAAGTGTTTTAATAATGCAAATGTTTTCCCCTAATTTAATTGTACTTTGAAAAGGATTTTCAATAGCTTACGGTTTCATTGTTGAAGGTCATTTTAGAATAATAAAGGTTTTGTAAAAACTTTTCAATGGGAAATGGCAAAATTAATGTTGGAGGGTTGTTAATTATAATATCAATATAATTTTTTTTTACAAACGGTGCATTGATAATTAAGGGAAAATAATATTTTAAAGCAAATATCACCTTTATAAAAAGGATCGATTATGTATGCTCGTTGAATTGTTAAGTTAGTGAGAAAAAAAAAAGAATTAATTGTCTTTAAAGTGAAATGTTCCTTAATTTTCAGCTATCAATAAATATTTATATATCAATAAAATCTTAGTTTCTAATATAAGACATGTGTTAGATGTTTCTAATGACATGCATTAGAGTTGTGTATAGAAGTGTTTATACCTGCATTAAAATTATGCATGATTATATATTTAAAAGCGGTTTCATGACATTTAATTTTATGCATGAATACTAATTATAACTATTTTACTTAAATGTTTTTAAGTTTCATTAGTAGATTGAACATTTGATTAAATTTCTATCTAAATATTTGTTGATAGCTATATAAATGTAAGTGTTTATTAAATGTTCAATTCTGAAAATTGCATGCTATAATCTAGAAGTGACATGATTATAATGTTATGAACATTGACATTTCAGTATGAGAGATAATGCGTGTATGATATTTTTTTCATGTGGAGATATGAAATTATTTATTTCCATGTGGGGGTAAGATTATATAGTTCTTGAAAACTAAGGTGAAAATAATTGTAAATGATTTTTTATTGTACTAATAATTTCCTTTGAGAAATTTGTAATATGAGTAATTTTTGGAGAAGTATGAAGATGATGATATTGAAATGAAAGATTCTCCAATTAAATAGTTATCAAATCTTGGTCTACGTTCTGTCGTCTATTAAAATAAAGACGAAGAATACTAAAGATAAGCTCTTTATTACTCTCACTATTTTTTATGAAAATTTATTATTGTTAATAAATTTCAAAGACTAATATTATTGAAATTATTCTAATTCAAAGATTGATAGATTTTGAAGTCATGCTGGTTAAAGATAATGATGAAAAGGTTGAAGTTGAAGATGGGGTGAGAATAGACAAGTCTAATTGAGAATTATGATTCTACCTACGAGGTCAAATTATTTAGACTTGTTGCCTGTTAATTCATGTTTTGCATAAATATATGAATTAGAATAAATAAGTCTTTAAGTGAGTCTTTAAATCTTAGTGGAAATATTGTGAAAAGAGATAAACCACTAACAAAGACTAAGATAGTGAATGATAACTAAGGCAAAGGCAATAATAAGTCCAAAATGTATGCTTAATAAGATACTTTTATGAATAAAAGTATCAATCATAATTCTTTAAAAGGCCTTAATAAAGAGACTCTAATTAAAGAAAGAGAAAATTCATAAATGATTTATTAGGAAGTAGTGTGATAAGTTTGAAAGTGCATGTCTAGGATTTATTCTATGAACACATGATACTTAAGCGTGTCTAATGCACCACCTCTCTTTCATAGAAACATTATTCATTACTATGCTGTCACTATTTCAATTTATGAAATACTATGACATGTTAAGAATTCTTTAAACTTAGTGGAGAAGTTAAAATAGTATAGATTAATTTGGTTGAGTAGAATACAAAATTTAGTCATAGTAAATAAATATGTGATGGTCTCTTTATGACTAATATGTTGAAATTCATTTTCAATTAACAAAGTCGTGGAAGACTAAAATAAGATATAATGAATTTCATAATTGTTAATTATGAATACTAATCTCAATGATTAGTAACTTCTCAAAAAAATTGAGAATCTAATCATCTAAACAACATTTGAGTTTATTAAAGTATAGTTTTATGGTTAAAACTGATAACAAACTTTACTATAGTTTGATTGAGTATATGTGTAAGAGAATTTATTTACACGTTGTTTAATAAACTTATGAATTTATTTTTATCCTAAAAATGTTAGAAGTGTGAGGGTGTCTTAAAATGATGATTAAATTCAAAGAGGAACCTAGTTTATCTGCAAACTGAAGGTTAAAGTTGGAAATTGGTTTTTGATTATGGAGGGGATGCGTTTAAAGCCCATTGGTTGAGGAATTCATGGTGGATACCCAACTTAGCTATCTAAATTTAATGTGGTTAAACTAAGTCATGGAAAGACACATAGTGTACATTTCTACCTATTTATCCCAATGACAATTAATGTACATGGACAAGATGATATTTGGGAGGCCATAGAATTTAAAGCATCAGAATCCATTGTTGTAGCATTGTGTCTATCAAACATGTTACTCGTGTTAGGGTATTGATTCATTATTTGATATTCTCTCCAGAATATCATAGACTTCATGGTACGTCTTATCCAGTAATGCTCCATTTGCTGAAGCATCCACCACCATACGAGTTTGCATCTTCAACCCATTGTAGAACATTTCCATTTATGTCCAATGTGGGAATCCATACATTGGACATTTTCGTAGAAAGTCTTCAGCCCTCTCTCATGCCTCATATAAGTTCTCATCTTCTAATTGCTTAAAAGATTCCATGTCATTTTGTAGCTTCGCATTCATGTTTGGTGGAATGAATCACAGCAAAAACTTTTTATGCCAGCTCGTTCCAAGATACTATAGCACCAGGCGACAATGAATTTAACCATGCTCTAGCTTTATCTCTTAACAAATAAGGGAACAAATTCTGTTTTAATGCCTCTTCAAGAACTCCTTACTAAATAAACGAGTCACAAACATCCATAAAGGCGCGTAGGTGTGCTCTAGGGATTTTAGTGAACGAACCACTATATTGCCCCATGGACTGTAGTATCTGAAACATCACTGGTTTCAACTCAAAATTGGCATCATGTATGATTGGTCGCACAATGTTAGGATGTAAATCATCAAGTGTTGGCACTA